GCACACACACACAGAACTGTTTTAGTCTCGGAGCTGGAGGGATGGGTCAGCAGTAAAGAGCACTTGCTGCTCTTGCAGAGGACCAGGGTTCGGTCCCCAACACACATAGGGAACTACTCACAACTGCCTGTTAACTCCAGCTCCAGGGATCTGAGGATATAACCGCAGAGCAAACACACGGTGCACATGCAGACAGACACATGCACATAAAATAAATATTAAAAAATAATTTACAGCCTTGCCCATTCCCTACAGGGGGGTAGGGAGGACATTTCAGGGATGGGAACAGTATGTGGCTCAGCGGAATAACATAGACAAAGGGGTCAAGCAAAACAATTCCTTAGCGATGAGGGAGCGTTAAAAATGGACATAGGTACAGAAAGACTGAGAGGTGCAAGGGCTGGGGTCAAGCATCGGCCAAGCACTGTATAAACTGTAAGTCATCCAACCAACGGGGAGGGAAGCAGGAGGCTGAGTTCAAGGCAAACCTGGACAACATGAAGAACTCGTCTTGGGGAGAAAAAGACGTAAGTAACAGGAAGATTATGTACCTGACTTTCCTCAGTTATTCTGCGATCACACAAGACCGCAGAGTAAGGCAAAGTGTGTGACAGAAGTCACCAAATTCAAGTCACCAAGGTCTGTGAGAATCCTACAGGGCATCAGTTAGCTGTTCAGGAACACCAAAGTTCCCACCGTCCCTGGGCATCCTCACACCGGGCACACACCCAGAACCCACTCTCCTCATCACCTACGCCCGAGAACACGGACAACACAAAGAACCCCGGGCCTCAGCTCCAGGCCCCTAGACACCCTGTCTCTGCATTTGGGGAAGCCTGACGCTTTCCAAGCCTGTGCCTGGTCTCCTGGGCCCCAGTCACCGGAACCTTCTTAGGGCTCATCCTGCAAGGGTTGCTGACCATCTGAGGCCAGGGACCTGCATATCTGGAGCCCTTGTATGGTTGGTTCCCTGTGACTCATCGACAGGAGGGCCAGAAAGTGCTAAACCTCCTTCTGTGTGCAGCCTCACCCATGAAGCTCTTGGAACCTAGGCCTCGCCACTTCACTGAAAGTCCCTAAGGCACCCAACCACCCCCAGGGTGCAGTTCCGAGCAGGGCAACAAGAGCAGGTATCTCCAGGAGGGCAGTTAGGGGAGAAGGCGAGAGCACAGCCCTGTAAAATACACCACACGAGGGGATGGGGAGGCCAGAGGCAGAATTAACTGCAATGGTCTTGATGTCTTATTTTCCAGACTTCCAACGTACTAGTGAACACCCTTCCTGGCTAGCCAGTGCACAGGTCTCCTCACAGCAAGGGCTTGCTGCCCAGGAGCTCCAGAAGGGACACAGGATAACATCAGCAAGTAGATAGTTAAGATTCCTTAACTATCCCTTTAAATCACCTATACTTGCAAACACAAGGTCTCTTAACTCAAAACCTCAAAGCATGCTGACTTCACGCCAGCCCTCTTATTCACATCACTTCCCTAATTCAGTACATTTTAAACTTGGGGTCATGAACCTGTAGTCTGTGCAATCAATTCACCGTTAAAACCAGCTTTTTCTTAACGTGCCAGACTGCATGTTAACACAAGGAGTAAGGAAACAGAGCTAGGATCTGAAGCTTTAGCTTCCAGCCTCTCTTACAAGGGTCACAGCCCAGGAAAGCCTTAAAAGTGCTACAGAATCCCATACACAAATACACAGTACCGCAGAAACGGACCCCTGCCAAGTCTGGTTCTCAGCACCCTTCACACGCCTAGTGCACGTTACATACACATAAATTTCATTTCTTGAGACAGGGTTTCTCTGTGTAGCCCTGGCTGTTCTGGAACTCACTCTGTAGACCAGCCTAGCCTCAAACTCACAGGGATCCGCCTGAGTGCTGGGATTAAAGGTGTGTGCCACCATCCCCACCCCCACCCCACCCCACCCCCGGCACAAATATCTTTTACCAAAGAATTTTATAAGCAAAAAGCTAATTTTTTGCACCATAACTTAATGCAAACTCTAGCATGAAATGGGTGCTCCCACCTCCAGCTTAGGTCTTTATGTTCACTGGAACTCAAACGCATAAAGCAAGGGCTGCTGGCTACAATGACGGCAGGGGTACTTACAGCCACCCTCAGCTTGTAATCTAATTATCCTCCATCACAAAACCAAAAAAATCCCCTAAAGTTTCATCAAAACAGTCAGGTTGGGGCTGGAGAGATGGCTCAGTGCTTATGAGCACTGGCTGCTCTTTCAGAGGACCCAGGTTCAATTCCCACACCCCACATAGCAGTTTATAACTGGCTGTAACTCCAATTCCAGGGGATCTGCCGCCCTCCCATGGACACACATGCAGGCAACAAAAGCCAATGCATGTAAATAAACAAAAAACCAGCCAGGTGTGCCACCACCCACCCCCTCACCAAGGACCACGGAAAAGCTGTCAATCAACCACTCAACCTAAAATAAAATGATGTGTAACAGTCGCCAAAGGAACAATAGGCAGAGCATGGGGAAGGAGTGCTGTCTGGAGGGCAATGAAGAGCCACCCACCTACACCAGTTTACCTTGGTCCATACAACTCCTACCTCATGATTCACAGAGCTATAAAAAGGTAGAGATAATATCTTTCTTCATCTGTAATAATCAACAGATGCCATAAAAATAGTCCTTATACTAAAGCATTCCTGAATTCAGGTGAATTTTCTTAACATCTTCCTTGGGCTGTCTGAAGCTGCTCCCTGGTCTTGCCAAACTTTGTCTTGTTTGTTTGATCAAGGGTCTCAAATTCGAAGCCTTAGCTGGCCTGGAACTCAGTAACGTAAACAAGGCCAGCCTTCAACTGACAAGAGTCACCTGCCTCTGCCTTCTGAGGGCTGGGATTATAGACAGCCAATACTGAACCCAGCTTGACAAAGAATTTAACCCATCTCCTAAGTCCTAGCCCAGAGGTGAGATCGCGGTTCCTCATAAGAATCATGGCAAAGGGGGTGCCTATTTCTCCCCAGTCTTATTCTGGCTAGAGTCAAGGCCAGGTGTGCCTTTAATATAATCCTCCAAAGAGCTCCTAGGGAGGCCTCAGCTGCTGACTCCAGGATGCAAACAAACGTTCTCATTTGACTTTCCTGGGGGGGGGGGGTGCTCTTTCTCCAATAGGAGGCCAAAAAATTATCATGTGGTTTGAAGATGTATACAAGGGCAGGAATGACTGTGGGAAGCCACTTTCCCTCCTCTATGGAACCAAAACCGACAAAAAAAAAAAATTAATCTACTGAAAAGTTACTATCTTTATACTGAAAAACAAAAAAACAAGACCACTGAGAAAATACACGGAGGGGGGGCGGGGGGAGTTAGTTACTTTTTTCTTTTCCTAGGATGAAGAATTTTGGCCCATTCTTTAAAAACAAAAGGGAGGGAGCCGGCTTCGCAGCACTGTGCCAGGATTAAGCATCTTCGCAAACACTTTCTTTTACAAAGGCTGAGGTTAGTGGGTGCCAATGGTGGGTCCCCATTAAGACACTGTGGTAGCCAGGAAAAGGAAGCACTGAAGAAACGGTTAATGTCCCAAGAGGTCCTTGCTCTACTGGTTAAGAAAGTGTTTCTCATTCAGTCCACCCTCATCTCTTGCCTCTAAATTCAAACCAAAGCAAAGCTGTAGGAGGCCGCAGCTGACTTGTAACTAATGGCCGGCAACATCAGGATTTTACAAGCACAAGGTGAGGCTCCACGACCATCTTTTTCCAGTCGCTCTTAACTCCAACTTTATTATCCCTAAAAAAATTAAAATGACTAGGGTTCTAGTGGTCACTAAAGTGCTGACTTTAAGTTTCTATTTTTCTAGAGTTCAAACCTGGTCAATGAAATCCAGTTTTCTTCTCGAGGTATGAATAAAAAAAATTTTAAAAAGGAAGGAGGATAAGAAATAACCTCAGAAGAGGCGGGCAGAAGCGGTAAGGGCCAAGGCCTGGGACACTGCAACTCAATCCTGAACCAGAGAAAACGCGCCTGTTGCATCTATAAAACGATAGTCGTCAATATTCGGGGTTTTAGCAAAAGTCTTCCGTTGACTCGCTTGGGAAAGCAAAACTCTGACTGGTCCTGCGGTCTCCGTCGCAATCATTCTGTCAGCATGTGTGCGCTTACAAACTTCACAAGTTAAGAACAGACTAGTGATTGTTTTTCAAAGAACCGAAAACAGTCCTCAATGACGAAAAAAAAAATGTCCGTGCATTCATGTAAATTTGAAATTCAACTCCCTCACGCTCCCCCCCCCCCCCATCCCCTCCACAGAAAAGTCACGGGGCAGGCAAAGAAGACACAAAGTATGGGCTGGGACAAGCCGGGGAGCAAACGGGTCTCAGAGTGAAAACTCCAGCCGCGGGGCGAACCTGGGCTCTGCACACCAGGGCGCACGCGGAGGTGTGGATTCCGCCTCCCTGCTTCGCAGCCTCGCACTTTTCCGCACCAGGCTCCCCAGCGAGGTTACACCTTCCTGCACCCCGCCCTGCGGCCCGCCCGGCCTGGGAGCAGCCGGGGCGCGCTCCCCGCCCTGCGCTCGGGTCTCCAGTCGGGGGGGGGGGGGGGGGGTGAGTCCGGGGAGGGAGACTCTTGGGGACCTCGGAGTCGCGCTGCCTCCGTCCCAGGCCCACACAGGGCCCGGGCACCCAAGCGGGGCCTCCAAGGGCACTAGTTCACACTCCTGCCCCGGATGGGCCGTCTGCCTGAGCGTCGGAGTTGGGGAGCGCAAAGCTCCCTCCCGCACTCCGCCTCGGCCCCAGGCCGCGGACCCCACGGCCCCTCCACGTGCACACACACCGGAGAGCCCCACCGCCCGAGCCTCTGGCGAAGATCCCGGGGGAAACGGGCCCGCCGCGTGGGGGGGGGGGGGAGTAGGCGGCCGTGTTGACACCGCCAAGTTGCCAGCTTCCGCCCCGGCCGCAGCTCGCCCGCCCCGGCCGCCCCAGCCTACCTGCATGCCCGGAAGGCCCGACTGCACCGGGGAGTGGGCCATGGCGCTCAGCGCCGCCACTTCCTGGCCCGGGACGCGCGGAGCCGCGCAGCGAGCAGGCCCGGGGCCGCGCGCAGCCCTCGGGTGGCGGGGCGGGCTCTGGAGCCCGAGGCCACCGTACCCGGGGGACGGTCTCAACGGAGGCTGGCGAGCCGCGTCCCCATACACGGAGCCCGGGGCGGGCGGCGAGGGGCGCGCGCGGGGGTGGAGGAGGAGCCTCGCGCGACTGCGGCTGCTTCTCCCGGGGCTCCCGCCGCTGCTCCGCCGCGGTGCTCGGGTAGAGGCCGGCGGCCTGGGCCCGCGAACGCTGGCCGCCCGGAGCCGAGTGGGCGCGCACAGCCCGCCGCGCCCCGCCCCGGCCCGGCCCCCGCGCCCGCCCCCGCGGCCCGGCCGGGGACCCCGCCCCGCGCTTCCGGGAGGGGGAGGGGGAGAGGAGGAGCCGCCGGGCGCCCTAGGCCGCAGTCGCACCTCCCTGCGGGCGGGTGAGCGAGCGGCCGGGAGGGCGGAGATCCACGGGGGCTCCGCGGGTCGCGCGCGGGGCAGTGCGCGCAGGGGGTGGTCTTCGGGACCCAGAAGCGGGCGGGCCTCGCTAGCGGAGTGGGGGAGCGGAGAGCACTGCCCCCTCCTGCTCTTCCCTCTGCACCCTCCCAGGCCCTCCAGAGGCCGGAGTCTGCACTCGGGGTGTCCCCGGAGTGGCCTAGCCACGGGCCTGTTCCCAAAGACCCGGGCGGATGCGTCTTCTCTATCTGGGCGAAGTTTCCATCCTGACCAAGAAGGAAACCCCAAGGGTAGATAGAGAGGGTTGGTGTTCGGTGTCTTGGCTACTGAACTCAGCCTCGCCTGGGCCGCCGGGTGTGGAAACTTAACCAGACGGAGGAAGGGCTGCTCCCCGCACTCCCCTCCACCCCTGCCATCTCTAACAGCGCACAAGAAGGGGAAAGTGGGGTGCGGAGGGGTGACGGAGGAAGGGTAGACAATAGAAGGAAACCGCGTCTAGACTCTAACCCAGCCCTCCCCTCGCTTCGCTGCTCCTGAAGCCGCCAGGCCCACTCTGGGCACCAGTTCTGCCCGCCTTCTAGCCTGCCTCTTCTGCAGCCAACAAGGAAGGATGGACTGGGTCCGTGCGCCTCCAGGAAGTACTTTATTTACAAGTGGCAAATAGGAAGTGGTCGAAGAGTCTTCCAGAGTCGCTGCGTCTCACACTCTAGGAGCCCTGAGGCCTCCTTCATGAATGGCCATTCTGCACCACGGCTGTGCAAGGTTAGGCATGCAAAATGAGTTCCCAAGGGTCAGAAATAGGAGGCCAGGCGTAAATCCACGACTGAGGTGGGGAAGAGCTTATTCGCTGAGGTGTCCTTGTATTCCAAGGTGTTCCAAGAGCAGGGGCTCCCTCCGGGCCCTGCATCAGGAGAGAATGTCAACCCGATTCTGTTTGGAAACCCGGGCAACTGCCTACGCATCCTCCAGTATCCTTCCAAAAGTCTTCATGATTGATGATGCTGGGTCACCTGAGAAGCTTTGCTACCTTTCAAGAGTAAACTAAAAAGCATTGAAAGTATGAACCCCGATACCCAAGAGTTTATGTGTTACACAAACAGTCCGAACCTAAAAACAAAACAAAAAAGCACATAAAGAATATGGGGGGGGGCAGGGTGTGGGTCCTGCCCAGAGAAACTCGAAGGAAAATACAGGAGAGTCTCTGCTAAGAGACTTCAGCCTTGGGGAAAGTACCTTGTGATGTGTTTCAAGGGTGTAGTGAGTAGTTCGCGCCTTCAAACCTAGCAATTGGGCGGCAGAGGCAGGCAGATCTCCACAAGTACAAGGCCAGCATGGTCTACAAAGAGAGTTCCAGGTGTGGTGGCGCACACCTTTAATCCCAACTTGGGAGGCAGAGGCAGGCAGAGCTCTGTGAGTTCAGGGACAACCTGGTCTAGTGTCAAGACAGCCAGGGCTAGTCAGATTTCATTAGGTTCCATGTTTGGTAATTGTGGTGGCTGAATGATAATGTCCCTTACAGGCTCGTCTGTTTGTACACTTGATCCCCAGGTGGTGGGTACTGGTTAGGGGAGGTATAGGTGGCTCAGCCTTGCTGAAGGAAGTAGTCACTGGCAGTGGGATTTCATGTGTCAGAGTCTGGTGCCCTTCCCAAATGTGAGCTCTCAACTTCCTGCCCTCAGCTGCCATGACAGACTCGAGTCCCTCTGGAACAACAAGCCCCAACAGACACTTTCTTATAAAAGTTGCCTAAGTCATGGTGTCTTGTCACAGCAACGAAACTGTAACTAATACAATAATATAGATATTTTCCTTACATATTGTCAGGAAAGATACAGGACACAGAAAAACATGTATGTAACTCGAGCACTGGGAGGTAGAAACAGGAAATCGGGAGTCCAAGGCCAGTCTCTCCAACATACTGAGCTACAGACCAGCCTGGGCTATGTGAGACCAGAATAATAAATAGGTAAATAAAAAAATAAAAAGGTAATATTTACACACACACATACACAGAGAGAGAGAAAGAGAGAGAAGCCCAATTATACACCCAATTTTCCTTGTACTTGGAAATGATTTCTTCAGTCACTGCTAACCCCAGCCTATGAAGACGTCGTACTAAAATAAATATTTGCCAAGGGTCAGCACACTCAGGCAGGCCTATAGCATGGCGGTGATGGGAAGAAGGGAGACAGTTGGAACGCTACAGAGCTCTGACCGATGACTGTAGAGAACTTAGAAACGCCTTTGCTGGGCTAAGTTTCAGCAGAGAGGCCACAAGAGACTGGAGGTGCAATGCGACATAATTTACAGAACATGATCAGCATCTCCTTTTGTACCCCATCACGGGTGAACTTGTCACTCACAATGGGATCTGACTGACCTGGGCACAGTGACCGGCGTTCAGTGGCTGTGACTCCCTTACTGGCTGATCTTGGGCCTCATTGCACTACTGAGTACCACGTTCCTGGAAAGAGAAGCAGTCAGTCATGTGGGAGTTGCCGGTTCGCATACAACCTTTGCAGGTGTTACTCAGTGTCCACAGGACAGTGGATGGCTCCTTCCCTTCTTTGCCCAGAGCAGAGAAGGTTGACAGGACCCCCGTATAGAATCAGATCCTGCCCAACGGCGAATTGCTTGCATATATTCATTCATTCATTCACCCCACCTGTTGTGAATGAGAACTACCTGTCAAGCCTACAGTCCAGGGCTGGGCATGCAAACCCTGGAACCTGGGCACTTCCCTGATGCCATCCTAGAAACCGAGTCTCCCCAGTTCCTAACTTTGGAAGTATACAATACCATAACTCGGTTATAATAGCTGCTTTTGCGGCTAAGTGGGGGAGCGATCATCCTCTCTGCCTCCTATCATTTTCTCTGCACCTCCAATACATAATTATGACAGATTGTACACTTCCCTAATTCCAAAAAGAGACTGTGAGGGGCTCCATAAAGATTATGCATGGCTCTGGTCTCCATGGAGATACTAATACATCAAATTATTTTAATCCCTTTCTTTGCCTTTCATGTTCACTTAAAGACATGAACTGAGCATGAATTGTGCTCTTGACATGTATTCTGGGCCACACAGAACACTTCCACATGCCTACATGGAACCTTTTCCACATAAGGGGCTCCCCGTTTATCAGTCTCCCCTAAACCAATTCTAGTCTCTACCAAACTTGAAGAGCAAGGCAAAAAACAAGAGTTCAACAATAAGTCTCACTCTTGACTTTCTGAGTCGGAAAGATAAACACCCCCAAATGTCCCTTTAAAAAGAACAGCTAGGCAACCCAGTCATTAGCAATTTAAATGCACAGATTAAAGAAAGGGGCTTACACAGTGAACTTTAAGAGAGAAATGTGAGCTGGGCAGTGGTGGCACTTGCCTTTAATCTCAGCACTTGGGAAGCAGAGGCAGGCGGATCTCTGTGAGTTCGAGGCCAGCCAGATCTACAGAGCGAGTTCCAGGACAGGCTCCAAAAATCTATACAGAGAAACCCCCAAAAGAGAGAGGGAGAGAGAGAGAAGATGTGGGATTCCCCACTGTATGCTGTGAATACCATTGGTTAATAATGAAGCTGGTTTGGCCTCATAAGGTAGAATACAAATATGAGTAGATGAGCAGATTGATAAACACTTGTCTAGGACCTGGAGACAGATGATTAGCATCTATGTGAAGAACACAAGCCATTGTTGTCCCATGACATATAGCAAGGACACCAGCTACACGGGAGCAGGCACGAGTAAAGCATCATACAGCGGCCAAGGAGGCTCCCACAGGAAACAACTCCCAGATCACCTTTTCATTGCAGCCTGCATTAATCTGCTGGGATCTGAGGTCGGGGTGCTGGCAGAGGTGGTTTCTTCTGAGGCTCCAGGCTGGCTCCCCTCCCCCGTCTTCTGAGTGTGTTTTGTCCTGATCTCTTTTTAAGGACAGCAATCAGAACAGATTAGATAAGGGGTACCCTAATCTACCCTGTCTCCAAGAACAGACACATTTCTGCTCGCTTTTGGTTGGTGAGGGTTAGGACTTCTGAATTGCAAGGAAGGACAAACGTAACCCCGTTTGCACAAGCTGTCACTTGGAGTTTGTTCCAGGGTTTTCCCAGTCTCAGCTGGTGGAATGAGCTAGCCTCCACTCTCCTTTCCCATGCCTGTGGGCAGGTATTGCTTCATCTTTCCTAGGGTGTAGTCCAGTGGTTTTATCACGCAGGGAAGCTGGGACACCACCCCTCTGTCCTGGAACTTAGAAAGTTTCTCTGATGAGTGCCCCCAAGGCAAAGAAATCACTTGGAATGCGCAACAGGAACTCCCAGGGAAGAGTTTAATGGATCCAGGGGACACATAAGCACTGATTTCAGGCCACCTTGTCCAAATAAGAGCTTTCCCCTCAGCTCCAGCTCTGTCCCTGTGTGTGACTACAGTTTGGAAATGTCCCAGAAGAGCAGAATCTCAAAACCTTATCCAGGCAGGGAAGCTCTTGGTTGTATCGGGGGTCAGCCCCTACGGAACTGTAGGCAGTTTAGACGCGCCTACTAGAACAGGCTCACTAGAAAAATTCTCGTGTGAGATTTTTCTCAGCAAAGAGCCAATTAACAAGGCTTGTCACACTCTGAACAGTGGCCACTTGACCCTGCCAATCAACTTCTAAAGGCTTCAGTACACAAAGCCTCATGGAGTGCTGTGTGTGAGGGTTTCCCTCCCTCTCGAGGCTGGGTGTGGGTTTCCCTCCAATAGGCTGGGTTTGCTCTCCAGTAGACTCAGAAAAGACACAAACAAAATCATCCCCCAAAGCGTGATGTCATTCATTCTACAAGAACAGGCTGCCACTCCGCTGCTCAAAACCTCCTGTCCCTGGCTCCTGACAAGGGAAATACATTGTGGAAGATGATTTTAATTAATGACATCTTGAATTTTGCAGGCAAATGGATGGAGCTAGAAAACATCATTTTGAGTGAGGTAACCCAGACCCAGAAAGACAAATATCACATGTACTCACTTATAAGTGGTTTTTAAACATAAAACAAAGAAAACCAGCCTACAAATCACAATCCCAGAGAACCTAGACAACAATGAGGACCCTAAGAGAGACACACATGGATCTAACCTACGTGGATAGTAGAAAAGGACAAGATCTCCTGAGTAAATTAGGGACATGGGGACCTTGGGAAGAGGGTTGAAGGAGAGGGGCGAGTCAAGGAGGGGAGCAGAGAGAAATGTATATAGCTCAATAAAAATCAATTTTAAAAAAGATGATTTTAATTTTCACTTTAATCAGGTCTGCAGAATTATGAGCCCAAAGAACGCTGTATAGTTGCACAAAGTAAAATGTGCCAAGGAGTCAAAGTTTCAGAGTCAGAATACAAATGATTTCAGTAAGCCTGATGTCATTGCAGAAATGACCCTGCCTTCAAGGATTCTCCTGCGAAAAAGACATATATAGCATATATAGACTTTCCAGCCCTTTTTTTTTTTTTTTTTTTTTTTGGTTTCCTAGTTAGGTTAATGATGCTATTGAGGCCCTTTGCATAACAAGTACCAAGAACTTCCCACCAACCTCAGCAAGTACAAGGGAGAATTTTTCACTTGAGTAAAACAAAGCCAAACTTGAAGTGATGTTATGGTTTCAATCTGAAATGTTTCCATCAGGCGCATTTGTCATTGTTTTATGGTTAGTTGGTTTGGGGGCCTATTTTGTTTTGGGTTGTTTTTGGTATTTTGGGGTTGTTTTTGGTGTGTGTGTGTGTGTGTGTGTGTTATGCCTGTGCAAAGTTGACATTAGGTTTCTTTTTTTATTTTTAAAGATTTATTTATTTATTACGTATACAATATTCTGCCTGCATGTATCCCTGTGGGCCAGAAGAGGGCACCATATGTCATTACAGATGGTTGTGAGACGCCATGTGGGTTCTGGGAACTGAACTCAGGTCCTCTGAAAGGGCAGCCAGGGCTCTTAACCACTGAGCCATCTCTCCAGCCCCATTAGGTTTCTTTTTTAGATCAAAGTTGACAACGGGG